TCTGCTGGGCTGACAGGTGTTTCTGTCCTTGACGGAGTTCTGGCCTGTCCCCAGGGACCTTATTCACAGTTATAGTGACTCTACAGTAATCCTGTGAAAGCATCCCAGCTTCTCCAGACTCTAATATTCCTGAAAGCACCTGCTGGTGCATGCGTGGCAAATCCAGCTTGATTTTCTTAACCTTGAGTGGGCACCCTGGTCAGCAGGAAGCAAGAACAGTGCCTCCGGAGAGCCCTGGCCATGCAGGAGCTCCCTCCTGGAGCTGCCTTTTGTCTTCCGTGCTAGTCCGATAACACAAGGAAATGGAAAAGCTAACCAGTGCCCAATAAATGTGGGTTATAGCCCCTGCCTGAGTCATTCAGCACTTGCTGGAACTAACTTCAGAATTGTTGGGATGTTCCGAGTTCCTGTCATGTTCCTCCTGGGAGTGGGCTACGAGATTCGAGTGACTGCCATGTGTTTCCGCGGCTGTGCTTGCACACACCAGGGGGAAGCCGGAAATCTGCTGTTTTCCGATTGGGGCTTCTCAGCTGAATGTAAATTAAAAAGATGGCAGGTACAATGTAGAAAATTTCATTAGCTTAATTACAGGTCTTATTTACATAAAAATGTCTTTGAATTGCAATTATCCCCTGTCTTCGGACCTGTTTTCTTGCTCTTTCTATCGTCAGGTCCAAAGTCATAACTTAAAGGCTTCGTGTTTCATGGAAGACAACTTACTGAAATATTAATTTGATTGCCTGAAGTCGATTCACATGGTCTGGTGAATAACTTGAAGTTCTGTCAAAATCACATACTAATAGAGTTATGTTTTATGCCTTTGGAAAGGTGGTTCAGGAATTTGAGTAATAAGCAGCTAAAACTTGACTCTCATTTTGCCCATCTTTATGACAGAAATGAGTAAAAATTCTTTATATTCTTCGGTAATGACTGTAGTGAACAGCGTAACTGGGTAAGTTGCTTATTTAAGGAATCATGGAGCAGGTTTTTTGGTTTTGTTTTGCTTTCACTTAATTGCACTGGGGATTCGGTTTGCATTTCTGCATAAAATTCTGGGAGAAAAACGAATTTGTGACATTTGAAGCTTGGAAGTCTTTTTCTTCTCACTATAGGTAGAGCTTGCTTATTCAGGGTTTTGTTGAATGCCTTTTCAGTTTAACTGCTGGGACACAAAAGCTTGACTTCTGTGCTGTTTCTTTCCGTTGTTCTTTTGCAGCCTGGGTAGTAAGTGTCATTTAACCCAGTGCATTAAAAAGAAGTTTTATTCCTTGATGGTAGAGGAAAAAGCCCCCATCTCCCTTAGTAGTAGCCAATGATAATAATACTTGCAAGCAAGTACAGTTCCTTAAAACAAAACAAAAACAAACCTCAAGGTGTATGGGGAGGTTTTTGCATCCTTACAGGCAACAGCCTTGGGCAGTAACAGATAGACTGAGAGTTGGGCTCATTTTATTGACATATTTATTGTTTTGTCTGTTGTGAATAGAATTATTGTTGGACCAAGTAACATATATAAGTTGACAAAAGCTGGTAATTTTCTTGGTCTCACTTTGGAAATATCCTTGAGAGTTATTACTTTATTATGCTTTTCAGCTGGTTTGGCTCACAGAGTGACTCAGTCGCTCTTTGCCTAGCTGTGTACCAGTCTGTTTTATAATCCATACTGGTGTCCCCTTCCCTACCACCCCTCCGCCTCACATTGCTGGAATCATTTCTGTTTTACTTTAAAAAGCAGTTTGCTTCATGTCACAACAAAATAAAGCATGGATTAGAAACAGCATTGTAGTTTCATAGTTAATGCCTTTGTGACATCTCATTGCTATGCAAATAAGATTCAAGAAGGTCATCCCTTTAGCAGTCGCTCTAGCCCTGGTATCTACTTGATATTCCTTGGCCAAACTTGCTAAGCATTCATTACTGAGCTAGCCTAGGTGTTTAACTCTTTGTTGGCTTTGAACCTGCTATACTAGGCTGCTGAGCTTAACCTCCTTCTTTAGTGGGTGTTTTCATTTTAGGGACCTCCTTGTATTTCTCTCTTCAGCTTCTCAGCACAGAAGGTGTCTCAGGAAACCCCGGTCTCGTATTTGCAAGGTGCACTTGTTTGTATGCCAGGGCAGTTTCAGGAAAGTTCATTTGTGATGTGTTTCCTTTGGCTCTCAAGTATTTTTATCAATGCTAAATGACTGTACTTTTAGAGAGATGCTTCATTTACTTGCATCTGTGACATGTTCTTGCAGATATTTTGTAAAAACAAAAATATGTGTATGCTGGTAAACGTTCAGGTAATACTTATTTTAAAATTCATTGTCTGCACTCAAATTTGATTTTTTCTGATTTAACAGATGTGTTAATAGTAAATAATTCTTGAAAGTGATGGAATCTGATTTTACAGTAAGAAGCAGCTACCTTACTTTTTTTTTAATTTATTGATTTTTAGAGAGCGAGAGGAAGGAAGGGTGGGGGGCGGGGTGGAGAAAGAGAGAGAGAGTGAGAGAAAGAAAGGAACATCAATTTGGCCCTGGCTGGTTTGGCTCGGCGGTTACAGCATCGGCCCTGAGGAGCCTGGGTTCAATCCCTGGCCTTGGTTGGGGTCATGTCGGAGGCATGTCTCTCTCACATCGATGTTTCTTTCTCTTTCTCCCTCTTTCCCCCCACTTTACCTAAAAAAAAAAATCAATGGTAAAAACATTCTTGTGTGAGCATTAACAACAACAACAAGAAAGAAACATCAGTTTGTTGTTTCACTTATTTATGCATTCATTGGTTGCTTCTTGGATGTGCCCTGATCCGGGATCAAACCTGCAAGCTTTGATTTATAGGGACTCCAACCATAGAACTACTCGGCCAGGGGCCAGCCAGCCACCTTTAATAAGTATAGATTTTTGGTCGTGTTTAATTTGCTTGGTTAAAGAGTGTTTTGAATTTACTGGTATGATTGGTTGTTTTTGTTTTTTATTCTTTATAATTATAAAAGGATGATTCTTTTAACTCTAGTTTTGAAGGAACCTTTTGCATTTTGAGCAATTGGACATAGTATAAATGGTTAACCTATTAAGTAGTTCTTCTTTTAGTGATTATTTCACTGCAGTGGATTTTCTTCACACATACCCACATACAGAGCTGCCTAGATACTGAGTTTGTTCTGAGATTTTTGCTAAAATAACTGTTAACTCAAAGAAAGTGTACTTTACCCTTGATATAAGAAGGCTTAGGACCTATGGAGGGGACATTCATCTTTCACTAGTACACATTAAGAATTAGAATTATGACATTGATGGGAGAGTGATTGGAACAACTTTGTGTTTAACATGAAAATTCTGGAATGAAGATGGGACTCTTGTCAAGGATAGAAGGCATCTCTGAGTTAAGGTACTGAATCAAATACACATTTTTTTAAAGATATTACTTTGAATTTTTATAAACCAGTCCCTTTCTAAAGGTGTCTTTTCTGACCACCTGCTGACCAGAAGGACTGCTCAGACATCTGATAATGACAGGTTATCTTTAATTCTGCTGAGAGAGGCATTACGCCTTCATGATTTTTATCAAGGACAGGAGGCAACTACTGGTAGTTAAAATAGTGGAACAGTATTTGAAGGGCCAGCTAAGTGTAACTTGAAAAGGAAAGCTTAGAAACACCCATTAGTGTGGTTTTCCGACTCCTATCCTATTCACTGGCTCATCAATATCCATGGATCTCTGTTAGACTGTGGCATCTTGCCGGATGCCGGAAGGGCCAGTGAGATAAAACAACACTGTTCTGGACCTAAAGGAACTTAACATATGGAAGGCTTCTAGGCCTTCTTCCAAGGAATAGAAAGTGGTATTACTGCTGGTTCTGACATGAATGTGTCCTGTCTGAACTCACCAGGGAACTGGTTTCCCACCTGGATCCTGTGGTCACCTCTGAGCAGGACTCCCCTGTTGATGCTGGTCCATCCTGATACAGAAGCTCAGGTGGCTTACTACTTAATAGTTACCACTGGCAGAGTCAGATTCCTCAACCTGATGTTTCTGATCCATTCTGGCATTTAAACATTTTTCTTCAAGGAAGGATTAGAAGATATTTTTCTTTATTAGGTCTGTTCTAGGGAACAGAATGTGTCATCTTTGGAAGTGTGTTTTGTTTTTCTTTTTGAAACAGGGGTGAAATCTTTTCACTTGAAGCCTCACATGTTGTTCTTTTGTAAAGAAACACATAATTTATGAGTTGTGAATTTGGATGTACTAAAACAATGTTAGACATTTAAAATCAGGGCACAGTATTAAATTTACAGAACTATCCCGGTGCCTGGCAGCTGCCTCTTCTCCCATGCTTTCCTTTTCCCAGCTAAACCAGATGTTGAGTGCCAGACCTGTTGAATTGAAATCGACCCACATTGATTAAAAGGAAAAGCGGAGAAAAAGGTAAAGACTATGTAGTAGCTAAAATGAGATAGAGTCTGAATTTCACTGGCCTCTGCCGTCACAGCTTCCATTACCCCCGATGATTCAGTGCAGTGTGTCCAGGCGTGGGTGAGCTATAACAGCAGTGAATTGTCTTTGGGGGCTTGTGGGGAAAGTTTTCAAAATGAATTTGTTCAGAGTTGGATGGAACTGTTTTCTGCTGGAAGCCTTGATTTAAAAAAAAGCCTTGGTCTTTGTTTTAGGAAATTGCCTCCCCTCCTCCATCCAATAGAAAACTATCAGATAGTTTGGTCAGATATTTTGCATTTGACCCATTGTTTTAGAAATCTGCCTTCTTGTTACAGGGATGCTAGTTAGTAAAATGCTGGACACTCATTTGTCAGTGTTTTCAAACCTAATGTTAGAGTTCTGCCTGGATCTACAGCCCACTCGTAGGGTAAAATGCTACTAGACCAGCCACAGCACTTGGGCTTGTGGTCTGGAGGCTGACTCATAAGCCAAGTATCGAATTTTAGATCCAGATTCCAAACCATGAGCTTTTTGCTGGATATCATTTTTAAACAATGGGTCCAATCTTTATTAAAATATCTTAAGTACTGGCTTCGGCAGCACATACACTAAAATTGGAACGTACAGAGAGGATTAGCATGACCCCTGTGCAAGGATGACCTGCAAATTTGTGAAGCGGTCCATATTTTTTTGAAAAAATAGTGACAGAAAACTTCCCTAAACTGGTGAAGGAAAAAGTCACACAAGTCCAGGAAACACAGAGAGTCCGAAGCAATAGGAACCCCAGAAGACCCACAGCTAAACACATCATAATAAAAATAGCAAACATTAAAGACGAAAGAATCTTAAAGGAAGCACGAGAGAGACAGAAAGTTACCTACAAGGGAACTCTATATTAGACTGTCAGCTGATTTCTCAATAGAAACGATGCAGGCCAGAAGGGAGTGGCATGAACTGTACAAAGTAATGCAACACAAGAGTCTGGATCCAAGACTACTCTATCCAGCAAGGCTATCATTCAAAACTGAAGGAGAAATAAAGGGCTTCACGGATTTAAAAAAAAAAAAAAAAAAAAAAAAACTAAAGGAATTTACCACCACCAAACCAGCACTACAAGAAATGCTGAAGGGACTGTTGTAAGAAGAAGGAAAGGGGGGGGGGGGGGGGGAGGACACAGGCATAAAATTAAAATGGCAACTAATAACTATCTATCAATAATTACCTTAAATTTAAATGGCTTAAATGCTCCAATCAAGAGATATAGGGTAGCTGAAACAAAAGACTCACATAGGATGAAAGTAAAGGGAGGGGAAAATGGAATTGGGAAAAAAAGCTGGTGTAGCAATACTCATACTTGCCAAGATAGATTTCAAAACAAGGGCCATAATAAGAGACAGAGAAGGTCACTACATAATATTAAAAGGAGCAATCCAACAAGAGGATATAACCCTGGTAAACATATGCACCAAATACAAGAGCACCAAAATATATTGAAAAACTTTTGGAGGACTTTAAAGGAGAGATCAATAGCAACATGATCACAGTGGGTGACTTTAACATGCCACTGACACCACTGGATAAATCTTCTAGATAAAAATTAACAAGGACATAGATTCCCTATAAGACAAATTAGATCAGTTGGATTTCATTGATATTTACAGAATATTCATTCTGTAAATGAATATTCTGCAGAATGTACATTCTTCTGCCGAATATACATTCTTCTCAAGTGCACCTGGGTCATTCTCAAAGATAAACCACATGTTAGGATACAAAGCAAGTCTCTACAAATTCAAGAAAATTGAAATCATATGAAGCATCTTCTCAGATCACAGTGGCATGAAACTAGAACTCAATTACAATAAAAACACACAAAAACATTCAAACACTTGGAGGCTAAATAGCATGTTATTCAACAACAAATGGGTTACTAATGAAATCAAGGAAGAAGTTAAAATTTTCCTGGAAACCAATGAAAATGAATATATAACATTTCATTTGTGTGAATCTATGGGACACAGTGAAAGCAGTCCTGAGAGGGAAGTTCATAGCATTACAGGCCTACCTCAAGAAAACAAGAAAAATTCTTAATGGACTTTCTAACACTACAGCTTAAAGAACTAGAAAGTAAACAAAAAGAAAAACCTAGAGCTAGTAGGAGGAAGGAAGTAGTAAAAGTCAGAGCAGAAATAAACGACACAGAAACTAAAAAAACAATTCAAAAGATCAATGAAACAAAAAGCTGGTTCTTTGAAAAGATAATCAAGATCGATGAACCTTTAGCCAGACTCACCAAGAAACAAAAAGAGAGGACCCAAATAACCAAAATCAGAAATGAAAGAGGTGAAATAATAACTGACACCACAGAAATACAAAGGATCATCGAAACATACTGTGAACAATTATACACCAACAAATTGGACAATCTAGGAGAAATGGACAGATTTCTAGAAACACACAGCCTCCCAAAACAGAACCAGGAAGAGATAGAAAACTTGAACAGACCAATAACAAAAAAAGAAATTGCATATGTAATCAAGAAACTCCCAGCAAACAAAAGCCCAGGCCCAGATGGCTTCACGGGGGAGTTTTACTGAACATTCAAAGAAGATCTAATACCCATTCTCCTCAAACTATTCCAAAAAATCCAAGAAGACAACACTTCCAAACTCATTTTATGAGGCCAACATAATCCTAATTCCAAAATCAGATAAACACACCACAAAGAAAGAAAACTACAGGCCAGTATCCCTGATGAACACAGATGCCAAAATCCTTAACAAAATATTAGCAAATAGGATCCAGCAATACATCAAAAAAAAATTATTCATCATAACCAAGTAGGTTTCATCCCAGGCATGCAAGGATGGTACAATAGTCACAAATCAATAAATGTGATAGACCACATAAACAAAAGGAAAGATAAAAACCATATGATCATATCAATAGATGCTGAAAAAGCATTCAACAAAATCCAGCACCCATTTCTGATAAAAACGCTCAGCAATGTGGGAATAGAGGGATCATATCTCAACATAATAAAGGCCATATATGAAAAACCTACAGCCAACATCGTACTCAATGGGCAAAAACTAAAAGCATTCTCCTTAAGCACAAGAACAAGACAGGGATGCCCACTTTCACCACTCTTATTTAACATAGTACTGGAAGTCTTAGTCACAGCAATTAAACATGAAGAAAAAATAAAGGGGATCTAAACTGGAAAGGAGGAAGTTAAACTATCATTATTTGCAGTTGACATGATATTGTACATAGAAAACGCTAAAGACTCCATCAAAAATCTAGACTTAATAAATGAATATGGCAAAGTAGCAGGACACAAAATTAGCATCAAAAAGTCAAAGACATTTTTATACACCAATGATGAAATCACAGAAAGAGCAACTAAAAAAAAAAAAATCCCATTTACCATCGCAGCAAAAAAAATTAAGACACCTAGGAATAAACCTCACCCAAAAAGTAAAGGACCTCTTCACGGATAACTACAGGTCATTGAAATAAGAAATAGAGGAAGATATAAAAAAATGGAAGCATATACCTTGTTCATGGATTGGAAGAATTAACATCATTAAAATGTCCATACTACCCAAAACTATCTATAGATTCAATGCAATTCCCATTAAAGTACCAACAACATACGTCACAGAACTAGAACAACCACTCCAAAACTTTATATGGAACCAAAAAAGACCCTGACTAGCCACAGCAATCTTGGAAAAGAAGAACATAGTAGGAGGGATCACATTACCAGATTTCAGGTTATACTACAAAGCCACTGTAATCGAAACAGCCTGGTACTGGCACAAGAACAGGCAGATCAATGGAACAGAATAGAGAACCCAGAAATTGACCCAAGACAATATGCTCAGTTAATATTTGACAGAGGTGGCAAGAGCATACAGTGGAGTCAAGACAGTCTCTTCAATAAATGGTGTTGGGAAAATTGGAAAGCTACTTGCAAAAAAAATGAAGCTAGAACACCAACTTACACCATACACAAGAGTACACTCAAAATGGATAAAAGACTTAAATGTAACTTGTGAATCTATATAAATTCTTGAAGAAAATGCAGGCAACAAAATCTCAGACTCATACGCAGCAGAATTTTCACTGATACAACACCTAAGGAAAGCAAAACAAAGGAAAAAAATGAACACATGGGACTACATCAAACTCAAAAGCTTCTGCACAGCAAAAGATACAATCATCAAAATGGAAAGGGAACCGACTATATGGGAGGCCATAATTGCCAATGATGCATCAGATAAGGGGTTAATTTCCAAAATATATAGAGTGCTCAACAGAAGGAAGACAAAGAACCCAACTAATAAATGGGCAGAGAACCTAAATAGACACCTTTCCACACAAGACATACAAGTTGCCAAGAGACATGTGAAAAATTGCTCAACATCACTAATCATCAGAGAGATGCAAATTAAAACAACTATGAGGTATCACCTCACACTTCCCAGAATGGCTGCCATTAACAAATCATCAAACCAACAAGTGTTGGTTAGGGTGTGGAGAAAAGGGGACTCTAGTACACTGCTGATGGGAATGCAGACTGGTGCAGCCACTGTGGAAAACACTATGGTGTTACCTCAAAAAGTTAAAAATTGAACTGCCATTTGACCCAGTGATCCTACTCCTAGGAATATACCCTAAGAAACCTGAAGCACCAATCAGAAATAATATATATATGTACCCCTGTGTTTATAGCAGCACTATTTACAATAGCTAAGATTTGGAAACAACCCAAGTGTCCATCAGTAGATGAGTGGATAAAAAAGCTGTGGTACATGTACACAATTGAATACTATGCAGCTGTAAGAAAGAAAGATCTCTTATCCTTTGAAATGGCATGGAAGGACCTGGAGAATATTATGCTAAAAGAAACAAGCCAAGCAGAGAAAGACAAATATCACATGATCTCACTTATTTGTGGAATATAATGAACTAAACAAACTGATAAACAAAATTGATCCAGAGACATAAAGGTAGGGTACAGACTGACAAGCCTCAGAGGAGGGCATTTGGGTGGGGGGAAGAGATAAACCACAGAACTTATATGCATGTATGTATGACCAAAGGACATAGACAACAAACCTGGGGATGGGGTGGGGGGATAGGGAGGCGGGTGTCAATGGGCTGAAAAGGAGAAACATCTGTAACAAAAACAAATTAATAAAATAAAAATAAATAAATGAAAAAGAAAAAATAAAATATCTTAAAATAGTAAGCTTCAACTATGTTACTGCTCATTATATGTAATGGCTGATACAGATCAAAGTTTAAAGAAGTGAGCATCCAACTATATTTAATGTCTTTCTTATAAATTCATTATGATTCATATCACAACCCTTTTCTTATGAACACGATTGATTAGATTGCACCTCTCTGCCTTACTAACTTTTCCCTCAACTCCAGGGTCAGAGGCCCTTTTTTGGATATTTAGAAGAGGACTTTGAAGTAACTTCACCCAGTAAGATCTTGCAGTTAGTTATTCACTGACTTAGGGAGAGGGAGGGAGATTTTTCAAATGTGAGATTTTTGAGGTCATTCTATTGTTTTGTACTGTTTATGTCATTGGCTGTCTGATTGAACTCCATGCTACTTTGGGGTAAAAACCCTTTCGTGTTCACTCTGTAGCTGTTTGTAGGATTCCTAGA